GTGGGATTTGTTGACCAACAGACATAACATAAGGTGATTTGGGCAGGTAATGTGACTAGTTTAGGAACCCTCAGATAGCAGTCCCCAGATTGGAGTCGTCTTATTTCCTGCTTAGAAAATCTGGGGCTGACTGAGCACTCTGGGAGCAGAGAAGGACAAAGAGATGAATGATTTAATATGCAGACTTTTCTACAAGGAATCATGTGCTCCTTCTTTATAACCCTGCCAGTTAAGCTATAATAACGCATATAGCAGAGCTTGCTGCACAAAAGGGCTTCCTGTTTCTTAAACTTTCCCTAAAGCCATTGTTATTGCATTATAGAATTTTCCACGCCCTACAAGCAGTATCATTTCAAGTATATCCCCATGTTAAGAAAAGAAAGGAAGAGGGGCACCTGGATGGTTCAGTGGTTGAGTAGTGTCTTTGGCTCAGGTTGTGATCCTGGATTCCTGGGATCGAGTCCCACATCGGGGTCCCCTGTAGAGAGCCTGCTTCTCCCTCTGCCTATGTTTCTGCCTTTCTGTGTCTCTCATGAATAAAAAAACAAAATCTTAAAAAAAAAAAAAAAAAAGAAAAGAAAGGAAGACTGAAAGACAAAGTAAAACCACAGAGTTATAACAGCTTCTTTTACCAAACTTGCCTATACCTCTCCTCTTTCCTTGTAACTGATTGTTATGGCCTATCTTATCTGGATTCAGAGCCAAAAAGGTGAGGTGATCTAAATACATATTCCTTATCCATGCCAGGAGAAATTGGTAATTTGACAGCACTGTCTGAAGTTCCTTTGACCCAGGCTACGGAGTTTCCAGGAGTAAAGTTACCTGGCATACAGATCATACACATTCCCACACTATCTCTTGGTACTAGAAAGATATCTTTTATCATTTAGAGTCAAGAATAGTCTTGAACAAAGAGGAAGATTGCTTAAAGGCTCTGGCTCTCCTTTTGAACATCACTGCTCTATAATGACTAGACGTAATAATAGTGGCTGCAATAATTAGAATCATTCACTAATTCTGTAAAGTTGACCAGAACTCCTGCTCTGAGCCAGGTCCCATGTTAGATTTTAGGGATAAAGACATGAAGAGGCACACTACTGTTCCCACCTTTAGAGATTTTATAGACAAGTAAAGGAAAATATTTTTATGATGAATTTAATGTTACTGTCATTTTAGAAAGATGAGGATTTATCATGCCTCTCTTCCCAAATTTGGGATTGCTAACTAGCATAGAACTGCTAACCCAGCACTGAGCTTCTAAGACCTTAATGTGGGGGGATACCATATCATTATGTGGGACTTCCTTAGATGTAAAACCATGGTAGATACAAACAATAGTACTTGTTTTTATTGCAAAGGACTTACTTCACAAATTACAAAATACTTTTACATCTATATCTAATTCAATTGTCAAAGTAACCCTATGAGGGAAGAGGGGGTTATCTCCTTTTATAGAAGAAATTAAGTGCTTAGAGAAGTGACTTGCCCTTGCAAAACTAGTTAATTTTTAACAGAAACCTAGATTTTTAAAATCTCAGTTCGAAAGTTCATTTTAATCATATCATGGCACCCTCAGCATCTAAATTTTGAAGAAAAGCCAGATGACTCATTCACAGTTATAAGAAATGTCTAGAATAATGCCAGGGTCTGTAAAATATGTTAGTAATATGTACAATTAATATAAAATAATTAGGTTTCCTTCAACTTGAAATGGAAAAAATCATACAAAAATACAGAAAAACGATTTGTTAGGACTTTAAAAAAATCATAAATGCCACGATTCTCCCATCCTTAATCTTCTTATAATCTGCTCACCTAACAATAAATTCTGGTTTGCCAATAATTTATTTCACAAGTCTTCTATGATACAAAAAAATAGTGAAATTAAGATATTTCCTATGAAGTCACTGTACAGATTTTTCAATCAAACCCAAAAGGCTGAAGAAACTTGTAACCCTGTTGCTTCATTTTCAAGTTCAAAGAATAGACAATGCATTTATAGTTCAAAAATTCAAGTTTTCCCAATTCTTAAAATACGGAGACCATTATTCAAGTAAAAAGGAAAAGCCCTTAAAAAAGGCTCAAAAAGAAATTTTTCCAGCAAAGAGCTTAAAGAAAACATTTTCCAAAATGGAATCTGGGAGTCAATAAATCCATGAATAATTTAAATATCTTTTCTCGTGTAAGATAGTTCTTTCATTAAAGTAGACCACTTGTCCTTTAGTAACTGCTTTTCTGTTCTGAGAGGAAAAAAAACACATCTCTGAAATCATTGTGTAAAAACACACAACTAATTTACAAATATAACAATTAGTATTGTCTTATTTGAACATTTACTATGAAATAATTTCAATACAATCACCAAAAGCTTATGCTTCCTCTGATACAGTCATATACCATATATAGTTAAATGCACTGTCTTGCCAAAGCTCAACGTAATTGAATCTAAAAATATACTTTTTTTTTTTCATTCTGAACTAGCCAGATTGGTATTTAAACCAAACGTCATCATCAAATGTTGCACTAAATATGCCAGGATGAAAAGATTACTTAAACACAGACTATTCAAATGTATCACAGGAAAATGCCCCTAGGCACCAAAGATTGAATGATTACATCCAGGCTCATGCTCTCTTCCCCCAACATGCATACACACAAGAAAATAAAAATTAAAAAAAACAGTAAAGATAATGAATGTGAGGAAAGAACTGATAACTGAAGAAAATGCAGTCTTTATACAGTCCAATGAAGACAAGATAAACTGGAAAGACATCTGATATTAAGCAAGAATCAGCTGCAGGAGTGGGGGAATTTTTCTTTAAAATTACTTATCTACGTAGTTTCTACTTTAGTTTTAGGCTGAGATACTGACAGAGATTCTAATGTGAAAAATAAATTTCTAATGACATCTAAACTTGGTACTAGAACAAAAAATGTAAATATCTGTTAACAAAAAGCTCTTATTATAAAAGAATTGTCTTTTGAGTTATTAAAACATCAGTTTAATCAGCCACTTTCAGAAAGTCAAACAAGTATTTTCTCTTTTCCATAAAATCTTCCCAAAGAGTTTTCTCTTTTCTCACAAGATACAACTCCATTGCAGGAAAAAATTAAAAGGGCTCAGCACCTCCAAAAGTAAAAATCCACTGATTTAACATCAGTTTTCTATAAAAATTAATCTTTAAGATTCCCATCTTTACTACACTAAAACCTTACAAGCAAACTGCATATCTGAAAGGTTACATTCTCCAACATGTATGAAGAAAAAGGGAATTTTGTTTTTTTAGACTTGTGCCATGTAAATAAAGGAGAAATGCACAAAACCATTTTTCAGAATCTAAGAGGAAAGGTTTTCCAATTCAAATGGCAACTTTTAAGCTATTGTTAATATAACTTGCAATTTCAGTATGAGTTCTAAATATTGAAACAGCTTGTAATCAAGTTTTCTAATAGTAAAGATAAAGAGCAAGCAAGCTTTTGGGAAGAATTCAGAATCTGAAATTTAAATATAATACTTATTCACTCAAAATTAAAAAGTCTAAGTTGAACATACATTTGAGGTTAAAAGTCAAACTGATACCTAAAGACTAAAATCCAAAGAATGCAGCCCTTTATTTTAAAAGGGGGCACTAGATTGGTTTTCTAATATCATGACAAAAAAACCAAAGCCCATCTGCCTGTTTTATAAATATCCATGTCCTTTCTTGGATTCAAAATTCCACTTTAACCCATTTCCCTTGGGTTTCTTCCATCTCACTGAATACCATTGTTGTATTCAGATTATAACATCTAGCTAAAGGCAGAGATCACATAAGTCCCCTGAAGACTTCCAAAACATTAAAACCAGTAGAAAAGCAGAGATATTCTCATGCCTGGAGCTGCTGGGAAATCCTTCTCTCCTTTTAGAAAAATAAACTTCTTGTTCTAAAGATAATCACTTGAAGAACAAAACATCACCAGTACATACAAATACACAGCACTCTCGATAATTCTACAGAGTAACAGTAATAGAACCCTATAGATTTTTTTTTTAAGCCAAAGTACTAGCAAAAAGGAAAGACTGAGCAAAAAATCATTATACCAAAGGATTTTTTTTTCCAGAAAGAGGACAGCAATAAAGGAGACTTAATCAGAATTTCTCTACCTCTCATTCACATGGGCATTCTGTAAGATTAACAACAACAACAACAACAAAAACTTTTAAAAAAGAATTAGGTGCTACTTTGTTGATTCCATTTAACCACAAGGAGAACATCTCAATCCCCTTCTATTTTATAAATGAACTAGCTAAATATTCAGTATATTTTCTGACTCTGTTGCTTAGGACACCTTTCTCCCAGATATTATGATATTTTAAAAGTCTCTGGATTAAAAAAAAAAGGGAAGACTAAAAGATTCACTATTATAAAAATGGCAGCCATTAACCTATCATTTGCGTTTCAGCTTATTTTGCTATAAAGAGAAATCTAAATTCAAATATTTTTAATACACAGATACACAAAGGCATGGGCAAAAAATACTACAACACAATCACATTCTATGCAACACATTTCTTTAGCTCTCCATGAAGTACGGCACAGAAAGCTGCTCAATTTTTCATAAGTTGTATGATTTAACTGAATTTTCATTCCATTCATGGTGCACTGCAAAATTTTAAAATTAGTGTTTAGGTGTTCACATTATTCACTGCATTGAGAATTCTCTCAAGAGAATAAGACATAAATCCTTTGGCTTTCTAAATGACAGTGCTGAAACTTGCAGTGTAGTTCTACTTTGGCATATATAAAGAAAAATTTTAAATCCTGCCAATTCATCACTGGCTTTTAATATTCCCCATTAAAAGAATTCAATTGCATATGCAGCCCAAACAACAGTTGGAAAAAATCCAGAAAAGCAACAAGAAAATGACTTTTTATAAATGCTGATGCTTTTCTCACCCAGGTTCAGTCATGCCAGCTCAAGAGAGGTGTTATATATGGCTTTATTAATTTTAAATCTTAAAAATGTAGTCATTTCCATGACATTACAAAAATTGGAACCAAGAGCAATTTATCTTCATGGTTCTGATTCTCCTGATGCAAAAGCACTTTTCAGAAAATAATTTCTGCAAACTTACAAGGTAATTTTGATGGATCATTTGTTTGCTATTGCTTAGAGTTCAATTATTTTGTCCCAGATTTCCTAGTGAGCTAGGAATACAGAGATAAATACACACACACACACACAACACACACACACACACACACTGACCCAGTGTCTGAACCACTTCAGATATGGCATCCATTAAGGGGGTCTTTACCCCTAACTGTATAAGGGTCTTTAGCTATGGTCTGACTTGCACAAGAAGTACACATGGCCCCTGAGAGGCGCTTTAGTCCCCTTTGGAAGACACTGTTGGAGAGACTATAAATGACACAGTTGCAGAAACTGTTACTAATAGCAAGCCAGGTGGTCAAGAAGGATACGAAGCGGTTGCTGTGGCCAGTGGAGCTCTCCAACAAGAAGTAGATGATGTATGGCAACCAGAGGATGTAAAATACACTAGTAATTCGGAATAGGACCATGGCATAGCGCTTATCGGGACAGGTCTGCACCTCCCCAGTCTCCCCACTCTGGCTGCTGAAGCGGGCTTGCCTTTCGCTGATCTCCTTTGTGTGCTGTTGGCAAATGCGGAAGATGTTGAAATAGGTGAAGCACACAATGAGGGCTGCTGGGGCATACAACATCACTACGATGAACAGGGTGAAGTAGGGGTCAGTGTGCCAGGACTCTGCACACCACTGAAATACATCTCCATGATATCCAGGTTTGCCCCAGTGGAAAAAGGAAGGCAGGAAGACCAGGGTGGAATATAGCCAAATCAGGAAAATACACAGGCGGAGTCTCCAAGGTGTAACCAGGGTATTATAGGTTAAAGGTTTGGTGATGGCAATATATCTATCAATGCTGATACAGGCCAGAGAGGCCATGGAGACACTCTTCAGAACTGATACTACAAAACCGAATACCTGGCAAGTCAAAGACTCCTTAACTGGAAGAGGGTAGTGGAGGAGTGATAAAGAAGGGACTAGGCAGCTGACTCCAACCAAGAGGTCAGCATACGCCATAGTCTGAATAAAGTAACTTGTAGTATGGTGGTTCAACAAAGGTGCACAGTGAAATACAAAAATCACAATAATGTTGCCAGAAATAATCAATACAGTGAGAAAGACAATAATCAATACTTCCAAAAGGCAAAAATCGACAGTTTCCAAATAGCCAAACGTCAAGAGGCAAAAAGGGTGGCTGCTCTGATTACCATCCAAGGTAGAGTTCATCTTGAGCTCAGGAGTGATCTCTCACTTCATGCTGCCGCTTGGCTGCTGCCAACAGTTCAAAGGAGCAGCTGCTGTCATTGCGGTCAGCTCTGTGTATCTGTAATAATGCTGCCAGAGGAGCCTTAGTCCCCAAGCTCCTGATGCTGCTCTGGTGCATTGCCTGCAGTGTACTTCCCCTTTAAATCCTTCTTGGAATAGGGAGAACCAGCAGCAGTTGTCTGGCCAGTCCCAGATGTGGCCATAGTACCAGGTTTACCACACACATAGCACCAGGGGAGTAAGGCAAACTCTGGGTACAATGTCTTCAGGCCAATGAGGGTAGGGGGTAGGGGCAGAAGAGAAGGGAGGAAGATTAGGAGCTTCAGCAGGAGTTGTAATGAGTCTCCTCTAAACAGCTGATAGAAGAAAAGGAGAGAGCATTTTACATTTTGCATCCAATGCCCGAATCAAAGAACCTGGCTAACTCAGGCTGGTATCAACCCTCCCACTCCATCCCACCCCACCTAGTACAACTATTCATGGCTACTCTCAGTAGCACCCACATAACTGGTCCTTACTCTACAGAGGAGCAACAGCAAGCTTTCATGATCAACATAAAACAAAATCAATCGCAAGTCAGATTGATTTAACCCCATTTCCTTTCATTTGAGCCTTCTGGGGAAAGAAAAGAAATCTGCTTATAGCATTTCTGAAAATATTTTACTGTAACTACCACTAATAAAATTACTTATGATAATTTATTTTCTTCATTGATTCCAATGTAATATCTTGCCTCTTTGAAAACATTCCAACAGAATTTATCTGTCTAGCTCGATTTCAGAGTGTTACCTGTATTCTGCATGCTGCAATCCAGACAAAAGCCACAAAATCTCCTTAACGAAAGCCTTGCAGTGCAGGAATGTGCCTCAGCCCTGGTTTACTGCAGAACTGAGACACAGAGGGAGGGGATAAGTAGGAGGAGGGGAACCGGGGAGAAGAGGGGGCTTGGGAAAAGGAAGAAGGGGGAGGGGAAAGAAACCGCCTGTGTGCACACACCCTCTGGCATCATTAGCAGCTCATTAGAATTCGTCACCAGAGAAGTGGTCCCTGATTTCTCAACTGGGGGGGGGGGGGCGCACGCAATAATTTAATATGCCTGCAGTGTAGTGTTTGAAAACTGTTTCCTCGTCTGTCTGGAATCCCCCTTTCAGTAGATGAGCAGAATTTAGACTGTTAGTGAGGAGAAGGGGCTGTAACCCGGACAGAATGCCAGCCAGGAATTAGATTGAAACACATTGCCAGAAGGGTAATGGTGAGAGGAAATTCCTATTTTCTTATAGCATTTTCCTCGGGAACAAAAGCAATGCTGAAGAATGAAATTGTGTTAACAGTGCATGGCAACTGAGGGATCCTAATTCAGTGGCACAAGAAGTTCTAGCTAGAAGGCTAAGTGTTCAGTATGAATTTTCTCTCATGATTCACTGGATACTAGCTAATTTTAAGAAAGATGACAAAAATAACAAGCAAACTTAAATATCAGTTTTTCAAGAGAAAAAAAATAAACGCTCACCCATTCTGAATACTGAGGAAACAGAACACAAGCTCACTGTTCCTGTATTCAGTGTTACCCTATAGCTTAAGACGCCATTTCTTGCTTCTAGTTTACTGAGAAGCAGTACACAAAAATACATGCAAAAAGTGGACAAGTAAATATACCCATTTCCATTTAGGCTTTAAAACTGCAAGAAGTTTCATGGTACAAATTAGCTTATGTATCTTAGAATATGCAATCTTGTTGTGCCTTGAAACAATGCAAGTTGGGATTATATTGTGGGATATATTATATATTATATTGTGTTGGGATTATATTGTGGCAGTATCATAAATAATGACAATTTATAGCTAATTAGAATTATGCATTTTTTCATACTTTTTCCTCCAGGTGTCTATGGACTCTCAATTCATTCTTCTAAATAAAGCTCCACATACCCAGTAGGGTAAAAGAAAGAAACAAATGTTGGCATTTCTAAGCATTCAGGAAAGATGGCACACCTGGGCAGAGATACATGTTATATGATCCAATTTTCATTTTTTGTTTCACACACATGCTTTCTCATCACAAGCAAATGGCCCCCCATAATCAGAATTCAATTAATTATATTTTAAGAGCTCAAACACTGTGCTTATTACATGAAGGCAAAAAACTAAAAAAACCTACTGAGCATAAGCTTGATAGCTATATTTGACAGGTTTTGCTAGAAAACATGGCAAAGTGTGGCAAATTAAAATATTAAGAAACCCATGGTACTAAACACCCATCTGTTTCAAATCCTTGCTCTTATATTCCTAAGCCTCTCACCCTCAGTTTCATCATCCGTAAAATGAGGATCATACTCCCTATTTCACAGAGTTATTGCAAAATAAAGGAAACAGTGTATACACAAAAAAGGCTTTACCAATACTTTGCACATAGTGGGTATATAACTTTATTCTCTTTCTTCTCCTAGAACTAAAATACCCTTCCCTAGGTAGTCTGTGTTTTTCTGCCAACCATGCTGCACTGCTTGAGGATGGGGTCCTCTTATTTCTAAAGTCCCTTATTGTGACTGCCTAATTTTGAGACACACAAGTTATTTGGATCTTTGCTGTCAGACATTCCTCAAATACATGGAAGCTAAACATATGTAAGGCAGTAAAAGTATCTACAAAGAACAAATGATGATACAGCATCAATTATTCCCTCTACACTAATAATTTCTCTGCCTATGTTTCCAGACCTAACTCCTAAGCATTCTCTCTCATTTATAATTTGCCTGCTAGTCTATACATCTTCTACCTGGGTGACTTTACCCACAATATGTCCAAAATTAAACATATTTTTCTCAACAAATCGGCTTCTTTCATCCTTTTGCAACACTCTTTTATTTTTTCCAGGCATTCAGGTATAGAAGCTTAGGAATCATCTTGACTGACTACTCTCTTCCCCTCAATGTCCTATTCTTTCTTACTTACCAGATTGCTGGGGATCTCTTTCCACAGCAGCTCTCAATTTAGTTCTTAATACTGTAGGCCACCATTAAATATTGTCTGGGCTTCCAGTCTTGTTCATTTTTCTGATCTGCTCATTTCTGCTTAAACATCTAATAGTATATGCTTTACTATGATATACATAGTTCAAGAAAGTCAATGGCTCCCTAGTGCCTTTCCAATCTGATACATATATATATTTTATATACATAAAAATTATACATATATATATATATATTTAGGATTTTATTTATTTGACAGAGAAACAGAGAGCACACTAGTGGGGACAGAGGCAGAGGGAGAAGCAGACTTCCCATGGAGCAGGTAGACATAGGACTCTGGGATCATGACCTAAGTCGAAGGCAGATGCTTAACCAACTGAGCCACCCAGGTACCCCTGATCTCACTACTCCACACCGCCCCCACACACACACTTTGCCCCCCCCCGCCCCCGCAGACAAATCAGGTTACTCACTATTGTATACATTTACCATAAAGCTTGTTTTTGAATTCTCATTGTTTGAGTGCTTAATACTGTATGAAAAAAGGAATGATTCTTAGAGTTATAGTTTAATTAGTAGAAAAAGCACTCACCAAAGTCAGTAGTACAATCTTTTCTAACTACTCATGAATTTTCTCATGTAACTTATTCTCCTATATCGGTGTCTCACCTATTATGATTTAAAAAGACATTACATTGGTTAACAACTTGAAAGAATTAAAAATGTAATAAAAATACAAGCTGTTACATTACTATCACTAGTATAATAATTCTTTCAACTTCATTTCTATTTTAGTAAAATCACTCAGCTATAATTAAAATATTCATATAGAAAACTCAAAAACAACAAAAATCTTGAAAGCCACACTTTATCAAATTAGTCAAGAGTTAAGTGTTTTGTTTCAAATTAAAGAAAAACATTTTCTTCAGAAGAAACAAATTATTAAGGATGTAAGATGGCAATAAATTTATGTCTTCAAAAAAAAAATCTATACAGTGGCAACTGGGTGGCTCAGTCAGTTAAGTCACTGACTCTTGGTTTCAGCTCAGGTCATGATCTTGGGTCATGAGATCAAGCCCCAGGTTGGGCTCCCTGCTCAGTGTGGAGTCAGTTTGGGACTCTCTTCTTTTCTCTCTGTTCCTCCCCTCTGCACTCTAAAATAAATAAATAAATACATCTTTAAAAAAAATCTCTATATACTTCCTTTATTTCTTTAAAATTTTCTTTTAAATTCCGGTTAGTTTACAGTGTAAAATTAGTTTTAGACGTACAGTATAGTGACTCACCTTTCCATATAACATTCGGTGTTCATCACCTATTTAACCTATCCCTGCCTCCCCTTTCCCACCTCTGGTGACCATCAGTTTGTTCTCTATAGTAAAAAGTATGTTTCCTGATTTGCCCCCCCCATCCTAATCCTTTCCTCATTTGTTTCTTAAATTTTACATGAGTGAAATCATATGGTATCTGTCTATCTCTGACTTATTTTGCTTAGCGTAATACTTGCTAGATCCATCCATTACACGTTTCCTTTTTAAAATAATGCAATCTCAGGGTGTATTTGTGTTTTTTGGTAAAAAACAGTATTTCCGTGTATATATCATTGGAAGGCAACACACTGGAAATTGACGCTTTTTAGTGGATGGGATTACAATTTTTTTTTAACATTATTCTATATTTTCTGAATTTCCCAATTTCTTTGTATAGATGACCCTTGAATAATATCAGTTTAAACTACACGGGTCCACTTATAAGTGGATTTTTTTTGACAAACAGTACAGTACCATAAATGTATTTTCTCTTATGATTTTTTTCTCTACCTTACTTTAAGAATACAGTATTTAATATAATAAAATACAATGCTAATCAACTGTTTATGTTATTGGTAAGGCCTCCAGTCAGCAGGAAGCTATTAATAGTGAATTTCTGGGGGAGTCAAAAGTTGTATATGGATTTTCAAACGTGTGTGGGGTCATCGCCCCTAATCTGCATGTTGGTCAAGGGTCAACAGTACCATTTTTATAATCAGGTTTAAAAAAACAGCCAAAATAATATATA